AGCACTATATACGTGTAATTCCACATTTGAACACGGAATATATGATTGAACTTTCCGGGGGACTATTATTTATAAAGAAGATTCATTGTGAACACTTTTTTGATTGCATGTATTTAAGCACATATTTATTATAGAGATTTGTTTATGTATTGTTCTAGATGAAGCGCAGCACATTCATTATAATTTGATATATTCAGAGGGTAACACTTCTTATAGTGCTTGCAGCTATACAGGGTTTGGCGCGAGGTGCTATTTGTCACCAGTCTATGGGTATGCAAAACCCTCAGGTCAAAAGGCGATCAACTGCAGGTTAAATGTACCCGTTAATGAATACTGAATAATCTTAGAAGCATCTTAAACTAGTGCTATCGCCACAAGCTTGTCGAAACTAGCCATAAACAAATTAATAAGACAACCCAAAAAGTTATATTTACATGTGTTAACATGACACAGTTAACTACCAAGGGACGACCGAAATCAAGGCAGAACAACAACAATAAAAAGAGGATAGATCAGTTAGGGTCCGGAACTCACTGCCACAGGCGGTGATTTCAGCAAAGAATGTGGAATTGTTCAAGAAACTTTTGGACAATTTCTTAAGGGACCGCATTATACAGGGGTACAGGTACTCCTAGAATGAGATCCCAATAGGTTGGACTTGATGGACTAATGTCTTTATTTAACCTCAAATACTATGTAACTATGTAATTACAAAACAAAGAGCGGAATTTATCAAAACTGGAGCAGACAAAATCTGGAGCAGTTGTGCATGGCAACCAGCTTCTCGCTTCAGCTTGTTCAGTTAAGATTTGAAAAGGAAAGAGGAGAAGCTAATTGGTTGCCATGGGCAACTGCTCCAGATTGTCTGCTCCAGTTTTGATCAATTTCCCTCAAACTGTTTCAGGGCCCATTCACACCACATCATCTCCAGACCAAACCGCATTGTTTCCGGACCCAAAATGCATCCTAATGTATCCCTATGCTATTTCTGGCCTCTGTTCACACCAGCGCAGTCTGTTCCAGACCAGACCAGAAAAATACAGCTTGTCCTTTGTCTGGTCTGGAATGCACTGGAACTGCAGGCAGGTTCACACCATTTTCTCGACCAGATCTGGTCCGGAAAATGGTGTGAACCTGCCCTCAGACCTAAAGTCCGCTTACTGACATTTATGGACACGAATGATTTTCTTGCTAGCGAGTATTGACATTTGTACATGTACTGAGAAAATAAACTATTTTTATGAAGCAGTATGATGATATATTAGGGAGTATTCTACTTGCTTTGAGTCAAAGTATTCCAAGTATGTCAAAAGTACAGGAAGTCACTGTAGGTGAAAGTTTATTTGTGCTTCGAAAATCACCAGCCTCTCAGTTTTCTATTGATATTCACCACTAGTAAACATGTACGTTTTGTGTGAAAGACTGTTACTTATTTACTTTCACAAGATCTGTAAAATGTATATATACACTTGTAAATGTATCTGCAGTTAAGATCTGATTGCAAGGGGTAAGATTTTTCTGCACACAGCAGACTTCCCATTAGTAATTCCAAAGCACATTATAGTAAACATTTCTCACTTTAAAGTAACCTTAGCAGTAGTCATTATCCTTATCCTTGCTTCCCCTCTTACGGAGTACGTACGTACCCAGTAAGAAAAGTCAGGGTCACGGACCTGCATGCTTGTTCCAGGTCAGTAAAGGAATAAGAATGATGGCCCTGGAACTTGCACTTTTAGAAACAAATGACAGCTCCCACCTTAATATCTAGACAGACTGCCATAAATATTCTAGGTTTAGCAGCATTTAAGAGTAGAGCCACTGCATTTCAATTTAAGAGGCCCCAGCTGAGGTGGACTGAGCATGTCATATAGAGCTATACCAGATGTGCAAATGAGGAGACCTTCTAAACTGATCCACAAACAATTACATCTATGTGCAATCTACAAACAGTTCTTCTCCCCCCACATTGCCTAAAGCAACTAAGGGCTAGTTCACACCAGATGCAGTTGTGATGCAGTCCATTCCGTTTTGCAGCTGCATCGAAAACACATCACAATGCTCTCCTATGGGATTTCTTGTGCTCTGTTCACACCAGTGCAGTCTGTTCTGATGCAGCCAGAAAAAAATAATGATATATAGAACAAAAGTGTAGATATATAAATATATATAATTAAATATATAAATTAGGTATATTGAATTAGGTCTATCCTAATTTTTTTCACTTTTTTTCTATATATCATGCACTTTAGTTTTTAGCGCTGCACAATTTACACACTTTATTTTTACCCCCGGGTTGAGTGCGCAGCTGCTTTAATATCAGGATATTGAATCAGGGCTACCCATAAAGCGCGGATCCACATCTTTTATCAGCAAAAAATAATGCTTGCTCTATTTTAGCTGCGACGGAATGCATCCAAACACATCAGAACACACCTGAAATCCCATTTTAAGCAAAAAAAATCCAGGAAGAACAAAAACGCATTAATCACGGTAAAATCGAGGCAAAATGCATTGCACTGCAGCGGTACAGACGCATGTGGTTCTTCACCACAACTTGGCAAATGTTACCAAGGGGTCCCGGCCTTAGAAAGGCTGAGAACCACTGCACTAAGGCAAACCATGTGTAGCTACATTTTCACAAGCCATATTAGTGATGCAAGAAATATTTGTGGCAATATGAAGCCATATAAGAGTAATTCTTACACAATGATGAGCATTGCAAGCATATGAAGGGCTCATAACATACAGATACATTGCAATCGTTACCCATTTATTCTTTTTTTCTCCATAAGGAGGGGAATGGTTGCTTCATAGCATGTTTGCCTTACCTGTACATTGGCCAAGTCAGAAATACATTTTGTGGTATTCAAAGAACATGTAGACTTCTGACTCCACATAATTCACTGCACCGGATCAGTCAATGCATGGCTGGCCAAAGCCAGTGTGACTCGAGAGGCTTAGCATCAGCACAATGACCAGATTCTTACAGCATACATGCATTGTGGAGCAAAAGAGTATATTGCATTTATAGTTATCGTATAATTTGATTATTTCAGCATTAACAATTGTTTACATGTTGTTTACAGGTACAAATTCTTTATGTTGCATGTTATTGCATTTAATAGAGAGACTTTTGGAGCAACCACTAGAGGGAGCTCTGTGATTGACTCATCCTCATTTCGTGTCTGTGCTTAACAACTGTTGACATTTCTGCCACTTATAGAATGCAATGTTTTAAATGTGAAAAAGAGCAGTAAAGCAGGCTGCTCTCTTGTATATGTATGTAAAATGACAACTAAAAAGACATTGATTTTCCTCATCCTTTAACAGATTCCCTTTAAAAAGTTACATGTCAAACCTCTTAAGTTTGTAATAGTTACGCAACTCAAAAGCATCTAACTGCGGTTACATCCTGTGCTCACAAATATCACAATCTGAACATGGTAGCAGTTAATGATCACTTGTACCAATCTACCATTAGGACAGCATTCAGACGAGAGACTTTCTGAAAGTAATAAATATATACAATTATTTTATTTTTTATTTATTGTTAAATATTTCTATTTTTTAACTTTACTGCTGGGGGCTTCAGTGAAATATCAAGAAAAAAAAGAGATTGAGGACACGATCTCTTTTTCTGCAGCCCCAGTTATCAATGAACAGGAAGCCTCTATACTGCGTGTTTCTATTCATTCATAAATTGTGGATATGGTATGAGCTACTATGTACACAATTATGAACAGGAAGTGATGTAGAGCACTTCGTATTCACTGGTACATACCCTAGTAACTCTATACTATAGTGTGTATAGTTATTTACAAAATAGCCAGCGATCACTGATCGTTGACTGCTTTGTAATGCTCTCCCCATCCTGGATCGGCTGTCACAGGAGCCCGAGCTGGCGGTATGGGAGGAGAGCTTGGTTTATTTTGACAGCAGACTCCTCCCCCAGCACACGACTGTCTACACCCCTACACCGCTCTCCATCCTCAGTCAAAGGGGGCGGTGCAGGAGAGCCTGGCCTCCTGTGACAACGTGGCTCACATCGCTCTCCTCCCCTGCACCGCTCGGCCTCCACTGACAGTTTCTCTCCTTCCTGCTGGATGCTGCACTGTGTCAGAGGGGACACAAAGCAGCGCCCAGCGGGGAGGAGAGAAACTAGGCATGCACCGCAATTTCGGCCAAAATTGCCATTTTTGGCATCCAAAATTTCGGTGCATCCCTAATTACATAAATACACACGATATATTTTGTGGTTTGTTATTATAATTATTATTAGATAGTCCCAGCACTAGCCACTGCATTATTTATAAGGTAAATGCAGGGTGCTCATCCACAAAAATATCCATACAAATCCAAAGTAGGTATAGAATTCTGAATACAAAAACTCACCGCTCCAACTCGGAGGTTGAATTCTTGTGGTGGAGATCCTCCAGGTTTACAACTGAAAGGTGCGTCTTCACCTGCATCCTCAGTGATAAATCTCTATGATTAAGCCTTGTTGGTGAAACGCATGAGAGGGTTTCTCTTACAATGGAGTGCAGCATGATGTGGTGTATACCGGTTTGTGAATTACGGTACAACAAAAGTTTGGATATGGTATAGAAGACCCATGGAGTGCGGCTATTTTTTGAATTAGATCTAGAATTACTCATGGGTCTTGCAGCAGAGATAAGTCAAAGCATCAGTATTCTGATTGTCAATGTTTGGACAGAGCTCAGTCCATCCTTGTCAGGACAATGTCTTAATTAAAATGGACTGAGCTCCATCAAAAGGTTGACAATAACATGCTGATGCTTTGACTTATCTCCGCTGCAAGACCTGCGAGTGCCTCTATACCCAGTCTCTCCCTCTCTCCAAACCATTCTAGTTTCCCTTTAACTCAAACTATTTCGGGTGAAAATGGAAAAATAGCAGGAAGGAATAATTAGGGAAATCTTAATAAGCAATGTTCTTCAGTTCTATCAGTTGAGGTAAATTAAAATAGAATTGTTAGTTACCTGTATCTTTCTTGTTGTAATGTCTGTGAAATAAATCCATAGTCTCTTTTGAACTGTACTTTTAGTGCCTCAATATCGTCAGCCAGTTGAGTCTGGGCCTCTCTAATTTCTCTCAACTCTTCTAGAAATACAGCAAGATCTCCAGTGTTATCATTAGCACTTGTCCGTCCACCATCAAATCCCTGGTTTCCATTACTATCAGCTGAGCCAGATGTCCCGCTAGAGCACTCATCATCACTTACATACTTGGGTTTAGCAACAATTGTGGCACTCCCACTTAAGTTCCTGGCATTGCTGTCTGGGTGAAAGTCATCGAGCGTGCTCTTTAGATGAGCAATGTTATCAGCACTTCCAAATTTATTACGAATAAGATTTGCAAACTCCCGAGATTTGTTGAAGACAAACATTGGCGGAGTCAAAGAAACCCCCGGTACGCCCATTTTACTGTGCTCTGCGGAACCAGTAGGCCTAGAACTACTGCTCACATCCTTTAACGAATGTTGTAAATCTTTAAGATCTTTGGAAATGTCTTTTGTACTCCTTGTTGCAGAGCCATTTTGCTCTATGTCCTTTAACTTTTTATGATACTGTTCCAGTTTTTTCTGCAGCTGTGCTATTGTGTGAGCCGATTTCTGGTTCTTTTTCTCAAACACTTGCTTGATTCGGCCCGCCTGTTGCTTATCAGCGCTGTTCACTAGTTTCAAGTACTCCGCCACATTGCCGTCACGGGCCGTTTGTTCAATTTTTATTTGTTCAGTGACTTTGAGGATTTTCTGCTTCAGGCTGTCAGTAGAGAATTTGACTTTCTGAAAGTCTAAGATGCCATCAGGTATGTCAAAGTTCAGATTGGTATCTGATCCTCCCCGTCTGATATTTAGAGGCAAGCTGAGTGTATTCATATCAGATCGGTCCACCTAAAAGAGAAGATATCAAATTTTACTTATCGTCCGAGTTCCATTTATAAACATTTACATCAAAGAGAGGTTTTAATCACAATTTGGATTCCACTAAGGCCTGGTTCACACCAAGCAGGTTCCAAGAGCAGAGCAGTTACAGACCGGATCAAAAATGCATCTAATGTATTCCAATAGTATTTTGGGCTCTAGTTCACACTGCATCGTTCAGTTCCAGAGCATGAAAAAAAAAAAAAAAAAAACTGTGGCAAGCCCTATTTTACCTGCTCTGGAACGCATCAAAAACACATGCAAAGCACCCTGGAACGCACTGAAAGCCCATTCTAAACTAAAACCAAAAACGGCCCAGAACGCATTAAAAACGCAGTATAACACTGCACTGCATGTGCAGAAACTCATGCATATCTGGTCTGCATTTGGTGTGAACAAGCCCTTAAGAGTTGTGTAGGATATAGGGGAGCTCTATACCATGTTGTTTTGAAACACCACAAAGTGGACCTTCCACGAATAAAGGAAGGCCCACTTCCGTCAGCCTCCCATCACCCAAACAAAATTAGATGTAACAAAAGCTTTAAAAATATTTAACAAAAACACTCACCTCAGTCCTGCCTTCTGGGAGGCACGGGTGACGTGTTCATGGCTTACCACCGCCTCCTAGGATAGCTGGCACTGAAAAACCATGAGCTTGCAGCCCTGCCTATTGCAAGAACATATTTCGAATGGTCGGGAGGAAGCAGTGAGGGGTAGTGATATCACCAGGGGTTGAAAAATCCACTCGTCCGCGACGAGAGGACGGCAGAGCCCGACGAGCAGCTTCCCGGCTGGCCGTTGTAATTACACGGCCGGCCGCTTTACATTCAAGCAATCGAGCGTCTCGAGACGCCCGATCGCTTGTATTACCAGCAGCTGGCCCTGCCGTTGCCGGTCCCGATGCGGCCGGGACCGGCACAGCTCTGTGACAGGAGATCAAAGTGTCAAAAGAAAGCTCTATCTGTCCCCAAAAAATGTTAACATAAATTGCAAGGCTATAGTCTGGTCATGCCGACTGGTGACATTTCTGACTGCCTGGTGAGACACCCTAACATTTTTCAAGCCCTGGATATCACCCACACTTCCCGAAAGCCGGGCCGAGGAGGGTAGATTTCTTGCTGATTAAAGTCTATAAGTGATCTTTCTATGAATGCTGAAATGTTTGTGCTGCTACACCTTAAAAGGAATGAAAAAGAATCAACTGCTGCCCACCAACACACAGGAAAATAAGTCTAAAAGGTGCCCATACACTGCACGATTCTTGTACGAGGATCGCGGGAAATCCCGCGATCGTACGCGAATCGTGCAGTGTATGGAAGGCGTGCGACCGTTTCTACTGTACGGTCGCACGTCTTCCGTCGAACCAGCAGGCTAGAAAACACGCCAAGAATCATACGATTCTCGGCGAGTTAGTGGCCTGCTTGTTCGACAACTGCCGAACGGGCCGGTGTGCGCACGCGCACACAGCCCGTTTGCAGTCATTGTAAGCCCGCCCCTCATTGCAGTAATCGTAAGCCCGCCCCTCATGGGTCGGGCTTGCGATGATCGCAAGTACGATCTGCCTGTCCAAGATGGGCAGATCGTACGTTTTTTTTTTTAAGTACTTTACAACCCTCGCAAGACAAAAGTCTTGCGAGGGTTGTAAAGTGTATGGGCACCTTAACCCCAGAGAGGAGGTTAGTTACAAGGCTATGGAAATTTGTATCTTGCAGCATCTAGCACCTTTTATTTTTAAATTACATATTATTGTCCAATTAAAGTAAATTACCCTTTTTAAGAAATCTGGTCAAGAAACTTTCAAAAAAATGCTAGTTATCTGGTTGTCAAAAGTCACTGACCCAAAACACAGACAGACAGACGCAGTTTACATTTCCCCTGAAACATTCTAAAATCACAAAATAAAATCTATACGCAATATTAGCAATTAAAATGCCACATGCCAAGCAGCCCTAGTTATAACATAGGCGTGCATAGCAGATAAGGAAATGTAAAGCAAACCCAAAAAAGGACAGTATTTCAAGATGGTCTAGTATTCCCCTCTACGCAAAATGCCCTTAACCAGAAACCGTACAATGCTTTTTTTCTTCAATTATTAATCTTTGTCAGTCCACGGAGGACAATAATGGTCAACAAAAGACAGCTGCTGCACTTGCTTACTATGCAGTTCATACTCTCTCATATTACAAGAGGCTACACCTAGGAGTAAGCACTGCCATCATGTTTGTGCACACCTCGAACACGGTCAGCATCTTTATTGGAGTTTACAGATAAATAGTATACACTGCTATGTGGATTACAGCAAATACATCCCGATTAAAATTAATCAAAAAGTCACAGCTAGCATTTTCTGTATGACATGCAATGCTATTTCTGAGAAAAGATTACATAAGTATGTGCAGCAGCCTTGTAACCAAGTAACATTACTCTGCTGACAATGTCTAGAATAAGGTTTCGGTGTAATACTAAATACAGTGTAGGTGCGGCCACTCTGAATAATTATATGTGGTGTCCAGGAACCCAGCCAAGAGACCGAGACGAAGCGATCGCTACACAAATGTGTCACTTGTGAGTGTGCAGTCGTTTTGAGGGTGCACACTGCAGACCCGTCATCCTTATCCTTGCTTCAATATCGAGTAAGAGCTTTTTCACATGGGTTTTTTTTAGGAACCCCCTTCCCCTCAACCCTCCCCCTACCTAAAATCTAACATGGCAGCCATTCTGGTATGCACACATGCCACGCCAGATGCTGTTCCTAGTTTATACAGCAGGTCATATTTGGCAGGTGGTGCCGCTTTCCACATGTGACCATTGAAGTCAATAGGACCATGCCACAACAGTGTGCCACCTGCTTGGCATGCAGGTGCCGCACAGTAATGCAATGCTAAATCCCAATTGAGATTAAAAAAATAAGAATTAAGTCAGCAGTATTACCTCCTAAACACATGGCAACTGGCTGACAACCACCTGCCAACCCATGGTAAAGTCTGTTGCCCGGGTGAACCTAGCCTAAACTTAACTGGAATAAATACAGACCTGGATTTCCGAATTCACATGATGCATACTTGTTCCAGGTCAATAGACCAGTGTTGGAGAACTATGAGGTGAGTGATTTTCACTCAACCTCATGGTTCGAGCAGACATGTGACAATTAAACTGTCACACGTCGGCTCAATAGAACGGGAAGTGAGCGAACACATAGCGTCGCTCGCTCACTTCTCGATCATCTCCCTGCAGAGAGCTGTGACTGTCACTCACTGCTCCCCGCAGGGATTTTCCCCACACTGCAAGGGTTAACTGCTCGTTTTGGTCTAGGGACCTCAAGATGATACTTGATCCTCAATCCTGTGGTGGTGACCGCTCACCTCTCTCCCCCCTCTGCTCTGACTGTGGTAGGCCCCTTGGCATTATTACATCTAATGCAAGTGAATGGATCTTGCATAGATGTCAGTGGGGCTTAGACCGCCAGAGCCCAGGGAAGAAGAGACTGTGGAGACTGCTCTAGCAGCCAGATGGTATTGCAGATCAGGCGAGTATATTTTCCTTTTGTGCCCCTAGACAAAAACAAGCAGTTAACCCTTGCAGTGCAAGGGTAGCCCTACTGCACCGGTTAAATTTTGAGAATCCAGGAGTTCCTCTTTAAAGATGAACTCCAGGATAATTAAAATTAACCCTTGCAATTGAACCACCCCTACACTGCAAGGCTTAAGTGCTTAGGGAAAAATAAATACATGTCATTTTGGTAACCATTATTTCCTGACAACAGGACAAGAAATGAGGGGAACGGTGGTCACTGGAACAGGAAGTCATAGACGATCAAGAGAACACGAGAGAGGAGTGGGATAATAGGCCACAGTAATAGGAGATCTATGACATGCTCTCTGTCCCCACCTAAAAAAGTTTTGGCTGGAGTTGGGCTTTAAGAAATAAAGCACCATTGCTCTTCTTTACACTAACTACTTTTTGTCCCATATTACTCATCCATGTGTTACAATCTACATAATGTACATCCCAATAGGGTTCAATCTTATAAAGAACACAAATCCCAAAACTCCTAAAACTGTATGCTGAGCATAACAGATGATATACCAGATTCATTATGCACTCACATACAACAAATAGCAGGCTGCAAGTCATTTATTATGGAAAGAGGAAACTGAAACACTCCCCACCACATAATAGCCGGTTCAGATTTAGCTTTGGAACAATACTGATAACTAAAAGTGACCCTGCTGATCCTTTGCAACCAAACATTTACTTCCAAGCACATTTTGATCCAAACACCTGAAGTTGTATTATGTGAAAATCAATAGAAATTATAAAGAAAAAAAGAGTTTCATTCTATACAGAAATTGCCTCAAACCCTCTAACCAGAGTTTGATCAAAAGACCTTTCGACTTCAAGCTGAGTTTCCAGCTTGGTAAACGGAAAATTTCCTTCCTCTTAAGAAACTTGCTGCGGCTATACATATACAACTTTAATACCACATGTATTTGCATAAGAAAGGCCTGATTTGTGATGGTTGTTCACAATAGCCTATATTGCCACTAAATTATTTTTTTACGTGATAACTGGGTCCAGTTGTTTTCACAAGAAAAAAACAAACATTCAGTACCTACAGCCTAATTCTGAGCCCATCAGAGAGTGACCCTTGAAGCAAATCTAAACCCAAAGACGCATTGTGAGAACACCCCGCCAGTGTTAAATGGTTTATCTCAACCCTCTAACTGCTACTTTTGCCGGACAATTTGGTCTCTTGGGACGGACAATTTGGTCTCTTGGGACGGACAATTTGGTCTCTTGGGACGGACAATTTGGTCTCTTGGGTCATGACCAGGTGAAAATAAGGGAAAACCCTGAAAAAAGAAAAAAAACACGCAGCCACCACACTGGTTACATGCGTTATGAGTGTATTGGTGTAATGTGGTGCTAGTCATTCTTAATGCAACCCCAATGCACTGCAGCACACAATA